CAAAATTAAATAATGTAAATTTTTGTAGCCGTAACACATTTAAAATTAAGATCTTGACATAATTAATTTTAGTAAAGAAAAAATGCTTATGATAATGTTTAAAAATTATCACACTGTGTCTTACTGACTTCATAAAAGATATTAAATTACACTATTGGAAATAGCTGGTAGTGTATTATTCTTTAGATAGTACTCGACTAAACTACCAAAATTAAAAGATTTTTTATATAACGTCTACTTAGATCCATGGATAGCTAGTTTTTATATATTTATAGCTTTTGTTTTAGATGTATTTAAAATAAATAAACACGAACTAATTATTTTTCAAAATTAATGTTTAATCAAATTTATATTTGTAACATGGTTTCTAATGTCGCAACCTAATACAAAAAAACAGGTTATGGTTATCCATAACACACAAAAAATTGTACATGTAGATAAATACATTTAAAACTTTGTTATTTGTTAAAATTAGAGGGTGTAGCTAACTGTATTGTTCAAATATACATAACAAAATCGACAATTTTGTAACTTATACATCAAAAGAAAATTTTTTTAGCTAAAATTGTATGCCTGTGAATTATTGATTTTTAATTTTATGAATTTTCTAGAATTTTATATTTCATAAATAAAATTTTCAAAAAAAAGAATACACAAAAAATTAATGTGAGAGATCATTCAAATATCAATAAGAAAAACATGGTAACCAATAAAGGTCTTTTTATAAAAAGTTACTTATAAACCTATTTCAAAACGGGGCAGTTACCCCAATCTACTCGCATTAGTAAGTTTTACACTTACATAATAATCATAAAAGATATGTAATTAACAAATTTTTTGATCAATTTTTACACAAAAAATTATATTTATCTGTTAATATTACTGGGAGTTGTTTCTTCTATTAGAAGTTTTAAAGTATGAATCTTGTTTAAAAAATATTTTATGTACTTTTGATTAGTTTTACAATTTAATAAAAATTAAATTTTAAATCATTAGATTATATATTTAAAAATATTTTATAAAAAATGTATATTTATGGATGCGTGGCAATATTGACAGGGAGCTGGCTAGTAGACAGAAAGTTCTCTATTACACTTTCTTGCTGATATAAATAGGTTCGGTTAGCACTTAGATAGGGTTTATTGAATATGTGCTTAGACTGATTCTTATTGGATGAATTCAAATAACCGGAAGTTCTATCCTGCCTTGCTATGTATTTGTGTTGTATCCTGGAAAACATTAAGGGATCTATAAAAATTTTATTTATATTAAATTTTTTATAAGACGAAGAAAAATCCCAATTGGTAATTAATACCACAAGATGTTATCAAAGAATACTATGTCGATGCGAAAAATTTTGCTTGTCTCTTATTTGCAAAAAATTGTTAACTAATCAGTACTTAAAGTACAAAACATTATTTATTTGTTGATAAAGATACTTTTAAAAATACTTTAAAACTTTTAAAATAATAATTTTCCGGTTAAACAGATTTATTTAAAAAATTATTTGTTATAAAACTTTAAATATAAATTATTTTAATTTAACACCTGTGTTAATTTTTGGTTTTTTTGTGGTGATACGAAACACTTTAATAACTGTTTCTACAAAAAATAAAGAAAAAAGGTTTAAAAGCATTTGTTGAAACTGAAATGTTAAAAATAGTAAAAAATATAATCTTAATTTAGTTCTACAGTAATTGATTCATTTAAGTCGTTATTAAAATTTTCACTGATAAATATTAGAATAATTTTTTTATAACCTATATCTTACTAAAAATACATTTAATAATTTTTTTGTTTAATATCTGTACGGAGTAATTCTTTTACAGAGAGCCAAGGTTCCTTTAATAGTAGTGATGTATGTTAAATAATAAAAATTAAATTTTAGTAGCCCCTATTTTAGAATAAAATTTTCATCATGAAGAATATAAAATTTGAGGTTAGAAACGAA